CACAGAGGCGGGCACAAAACAGAGAGCCTGACTCCTACCTCTGCTGGGAAGAAGGCCCGGGCAAAGTATCCACAGACTTCCTGTGGGATGGCCCCAGAGACTTATCAACAGCCTGGTTCCCTCAGCACTGAAGGTAGGTAGTATAAAGACACTGTCTTGTGCGTCCCAAACAAAGTATCAGGGAAAATGTTTCAACTGACTCTTAAAATAATGAGCTTTGAGTTCTGTTGAACTCACTATAGACAAGGATCCACAGAGCCAGAGCAGCATCAAGAAAACAGAAACCAGGCTGGCTGTCCACAGTGCGTGGCCTGTCGGCTCAGAAGGGAGAGTGGCAGGAGGAGACAGGCACAGGTAAAGAGACACATGGCAGTAGACTAAATGGTGGGAGAACTGTCTGGGCGAAGGCACCTGATGGACCGTGTCTGGACCCAAAAAGGCAGAGAAATGCAGTGATACCCAGGAAACAAGTTGATACGATATGCCTCATCGATAATGTAACAGATATGAAACATCGTTTTTTTGAAACCAATGAAAGGAGGGGCTGGAGCTGAGTGGTAGTGGTGCACCCATTTAATCCCAGCACCCGGGAGAGAGAAGCAGGCAGATGTTGGTGAGTTCGAGGCCAGTCTGGTCTACAGAGCGAGTTCCAGGACAGGCAAGGGCTGTCTTGGTGAGGAAAAGAAAGAAAGGAAAGAAGGAAAGAAAAGAGCGGCTGGAGAGATGGCCCAGCAGGTAAGAGCACTGGCTGCTCTTCCGAAAGACCTAGTTTCACTTTCCAGCAGGGACACTACAGCTAATAACCATCAGTGACTTCAGCTTCGCAGCATCCAATGTCTTTTAGCTTCTGCATGCATATGGTGCACACATACATGCAGGCAAATACTCATACACACAACATAAGAAGGAATTATTTTACAAACAGCAAGAGGAACTTGTGTGTAGCATAATTCAGTCAAAGTGAAATTTTCTATTAAGCATTGCAGGATGTTTATCGGTATATCCAATAAAAACTATAAAGCAGTGAGAGCACAGAACACTGCTCTGCTGGCCTCGAGGAAAAGCACTTACGCAATTGGCTGCTGCACTGGGAACTCAACTGACCACATTTTCCACATCATTTTCACTTCAGAAAACAGCTGACACACTGCGGTTAGACCTGTGTGTCTGACCTGCATTTTCTCAGACACGAAGTGACCTGATACATACACAAGAAAGAAGGAGAGAGAGAGAGAGAGAGAGAGAGAGAGAGAGAGAGAGAGAGAGAGAGAGAGAGAGAGGCAGAAAGAAAGAAATAAAACAGCCTTTGTCACCAAACACAAAATTTGAATTTTCTAGCAAAACTTTGAAATCTAGAAAACTTCTTCCCAGCCAGAGAGTGGTGGTGCATGCCTCTAATACCAGCACTCAGGAGGATCTCTGTGAGCTCTAGGCCAACCAGGTCTACAGAGTGAGTTCCAGGACAGCTAGGGCTACCCAGAGAAATCCTGTCTTGAAAAACCGAAAGGAAAAAAAAAGAAAAGAAAAGAAATCTTCCCAAACTCAAAGAAAGATGAGAAAAGCAGCCCTTCAAACCCCCACAAATAGCACAAGGATGGTATAGATATGGGCCCTCTCCAAATAACAGAAGGTGAGTGCAGATACTGGTTTCCATCCCCCCATAACACAAGGGGGAGCAGAATCTGGTTTCCACACCTCCCAGCACAAGGGGGAGGCAAACACTGGTTTCTACCTCCCCTCATAAACAAAGGAGGGGAAGACACTGGTTTAACAAATTCGTAGGATTTATGTTTGATTAACTTACTTTTCTTCCTGACTTCACTGTTAACATTTTTAATTACAAGGTTCTCAAAATAGAGTAATTTAAATTATTACTTCTGTCTTAGGGTTTTTTTTTTGTTGTTGTTGTTGCATGGTGAAAAGACACCATGGCCACGGTGGCATCTCTTAAAGGAAAACATTTAATTGAGGGGGCTAGCTTACAGTTTCAGAGGTTCAGTCCAGTATCATCACGGCAGGGAGCATGTGGGTAAAGGTGGTGTTGGAGGGACAGTCCTACATCTTTCAGGGAACAGGAAGTCAACCTAAAGTCACACTGAGGGAAGCTTGAGCAAAAGAGACCTCAAAGCCCCACAGTGACACACTTCCTCCAAAAAAGCCACACCTCCTAACAGTGCCACTCCCTTTGGGGGCCTTTTTCTTTCCAGACACCGCAATGATCTACTTGGCTTGAGAGACAATTGTTACAGGTGTTCTATGGCAACATTACACACTCAAATAAGAAAAATGTACAGGCTTTCATATCAACCGAATTTGAGCTCTCTACGGACACTGTACGAACACTAGGAAGCTGGGATACAGATTTCCTTTGCTTAACTTTTTATCATGTTACCCAATATATGAAGAAATGGGATCCAGGATTAGCTTGTTCATGTAGTGCTTTCTTAGCGTGCACACACAGTCCTGAGTGCCACTCACCCCCGCCATCACAAAGGGAACAAGAAAGCAAAGTCAGAGCTTTCAAAGTTGTAAATTCAGCCATAAATTCAAAAAAAAAAAGACTCACTGGGTATGGTGGTGCATGCCTTTAATCTCAGCATTTATGTCTACATACAGACAGAGTCCCCAGCCAGCCAGGGCTACATAGAGCAATCCAGTCTAAAACAGAAATCCTGTCAGGGACCAGCAAAATGGCTAAACAGGTAAGGCTGCATGCTGCCATGCCTGACAACCTGTACTTGATCTGCAGAACCCACATGGTGGAAGGAGAGACGACTACAAGTTGTACTCTGACCTTCACACACACACACACACACAGCACCTGCACGCTCACACCTGTATACACATACACAACACAATAAAGAAAGGTATTTTTAAAATTATTCTTGTGGCAAGTGAGTATGACCTGGGTGCATTATGTGACATTCCCAAATAATCAGTAAAAAGATTACATTGGAGAAATTTTTCTTGTGCAGAATCTCTCACAGCTAAGTGTCTGGTAAAATAACACTCTTCAAAGAGGTTCAAGTTTTGAGCAGTTACATGAAAAAGTAAAATATTTCTATTAATTAGATGATTTATATGATGTCTAAAATGGAAAGAAAGAATTTTGTTTGTAACCTTTTCCTAAATGTCGTAAATAATATCCAATAGACTAAATGGCAGAAAAGATAGTAAAATACATTTGACATCTACAAACTAGTTGGTGTGGCAGAATTAATAAAGACTTCTTAATGAAAGAGATTCAAAACATCCAACATAAGGCCAAAAAAAAAATTCTTACACATCCTGTATCCTGGCTGTATGAAAATGTTGCCCTAATTCAGGTGAAAATGTGAACTGCTGTCATAAGTATCAAAAGCTTGAAGAGAATAGATTTTGTTGCCTACAGAAAAACACTAACTAAAACACCAAATTGTTAAAATGTTCATACTCCTTCAAACTTTACCCTAAACTTCTAGTTGGCAATGATACATCAAGGTTTTTCCAAGCATCATTACCTCACTGTATATCTTTTAATTAAATCCAATAAAGAAAAGATTATATAGTATTTTTTTCATGAGAAATCAGTCTGGATGAGGCTTCAGTCTCTCTCCTGCAATTCATTACCATCATATCTCTCTCTCTCTCTCACACACACACACACACACACACACACCACATACACATATGTTCACACACATACACACCCCCAAACACACACACATGTCCACATACACATGAACACATATTCACACACACACACACCACATACAAATATGTTCACACACACATACACACCCCCAAACACACACACATGTCCACATACACATGAACACATATTCACACACATACACACCCCCAAACACACACACATGTCCACATACACATGAACACATATTCACACACACACACAAATATTCCCCACACTCACGCACACATACATACACACACATTCACACATACTCTCTCTCTCACACACATACACACACATTCACACATACCCTCTCTCTCTCTCTCACACACACACACACACACACAAATATCTGTGGGGATAAGAATCTCACCTCAAATTTCTACAGATGTTTTCCCTCTCTGAAAGACATGACATTTTTATCTAACTCAGGGGAGAAACACTGACTCAAAAAAAGACAGGTGAATATCTAATAAGAAATGACAGAATATGCACTGTTACTAAGTCACTCAGCATTAAACACTGAGTGACAAGAAAACTCAGCCGGGTTCAGAGAACAGGGTGTATTTTAACAGCCATATAAATTCATAGAAATTTTCATTCCCTAAAACAAGGCCATGTGGACCCCCTGTCAACAGCAGGAGAAATAAGAAATTGGGATATTTCGATAAAGAAGCCAGGATCATGCAAAAGTGTATTTGGGACCAAAAGCCAAAGGCAACTAACAGAAAGTTAACAATTTAAGCCCACAAATTGCTTTACATAATTATTTTAATCATCATTTTGTCCGAGCAGGAATCCTAACAGGTTAAGCAAAGGCTGACTTTGACAAAAAGACCCAAGCTGACTAAATAACAGAGCTGTGTTTCAACAATGTAGCCCCTAGAACGCCTCAAGGATCCTGCAAATGTCTGTTGACCTACAACAGTAGCAAGCTTACACTTGACCTTCCTACAGTTCCTGTTTTCCCATTAGATTGTCACAACCTGTTATTATATCGGGACATAAAGATGTCTAAATAAAACTGCAATCAGACACTGAACTTATCTGATAAAGTTGTCATGAATACTGAAGAAAATGGCAAGAGGCACCCCATCCCACCCCCACCCCTACCCCCCAGTCACTAGGCCCTCATTTCCCTGCATCCACAGAATGCGACCTTTTAAGCTCTCTTAAACATTTATTAGCCAAGCTAACGTGGTCAAGCAGTTTCTTCGACAGTTTTGAAAGCAAGTCAAATCAGATTCTGGTTCAGCTTCCAAACTGCTCAACCCCCCAGTTACCTTCTTTCTAACCATAGGAGGTGAGGGTGTGTCCCGGTGCTTACCGATGCCTGGAGCTACATAGATGAAGTAGAGACAGGACGTGGAGAGGGAGAAGAGGAAGATGAAGGCGATCAGGGAGCGATTGGAGACCCGCATCATCAGCTTGAGCGCAGACATCTTCCTCTGCCCTGCCAGCAGCGCGGGCTGCGCTCTCAGGTCTGACTCGGGGCTACTGTCCAGGCCCTAAACTTCCATGAATGTACGGAGAACCCCAAGAGGGTAGCGGGGTCCAGCCGGGGAGGCTTTGAGCGGGAGGGCCGAGCCAGGAAGGGGAAACGGATGCAATGAATGAGAGGCAGCGGAGCAGCGGGAAGGGTGGAGGGAGGATGCGGGGAAAGGTGGAGGGAGGCCGGGGGACCAGGCACCGTGGAGGCCAAAGCCACGGGCCAGGTTAGTTAGAGCGCTGAGATGCGGAGCTCGGCCCGCCGGCTGCAGCGTGCCGGGGTCCCCGCACCCCGGGCGGCGTCCAAGAGGAGAGTCCCGACGATCGGGACCCGGGCCGGGTAGCGTGCGTTCTGCGGGCCTGCGCCCCGGCTGAGTGCGGCCAGTGCGGAGCTCTAGCGTGGGCTCCGGGACACGCGAGGCACGGGCGGCCGCGGGGAACCTGGGGGCTGCGGAGCCGGGCGCTCGCCGGAGCGCGGCCTGCACCTCATTCCGCGCCAAGCCCCGCAGCGCAGCGGCGGCCTCTGGAGCCTAGCGCAGGCCCGGGCGGCGTCCCGGGCAGCGGCGAATGCGCCCGGGCTACACTTGCTGCCGCCGCCCGCTGCCCAGCCGGCCACGGCAGCCGCATTCCCGCCGCGGAGCCCGAGGGAGAGGCGGCGCCGCCCCCGCACAGACCCCCCGGACTACCCGGCGGATGCGCGCTCCCGGGGTCCGGAGGGTGAAGGCAAGAAGGTGACAGACGCGAGGCGATCGCGGACACCCACGAGGACAATCCCGACAGCCCTGTGCTCCCCGAGACCCCTGCAGGCTCCGCCCGCCGATGCACAACTCGACAGGCGGCGCTGCGCCCGGAGCAGGGGAACCAAGAGCCCTCGCCCCTGGAGCGCCGCGCGTCCTGATTGGTCCTGGCACAGGGTGACAGCGTCCCCACCCATCCCCGCCCTCCCGGGTCACTCGCAGTCCCTGCTGGACTCTGAACTAGGCAAGGACCGCGTCCCCAGCGTGGGATGCGCTCTGCACCAAGAATGATGTTTGTGAGAAACAAGGACCTTTTGGAGAAGGACGAAGGAGACACATTTCCCTCCCGGATTTATGGACTGTGGGCCTATGTGTATCCGTTATGCCTTGACCGGACTTCCCATTGAAGGTGAACACAGCCTATAGGCCCACGAACATCACAGCCCAATCCTTAACGGCAAGCCGTCCACTGAATTGATACACCTTCTAGGCGCAGGGCTACCCTTTGTTCCAATGTTTCTTGCCTCTAACTACAGGGTTCCTCACATCACACATTAGCAGCATACTGTGTGCAGGTGTTTCTTTTCAGCTGATCAGCTAATTGTGACTATATAAACCATCCTGACAGGACTGAAGGCAGATTCCAAAGAGATATATGTTCCTTCTTTTAGCCATCAAACTATTAAAAAGAATGGTCTTCAAGAAACTGAAATGTCTCTATAATCTCATGCTGGGGAAGGAAAAGGCTGAAGCCTGGTGCTAGCCAAAGGAGGAACTTACTTCTCCAAAAGAGGTTTCACATAGTTCGAGCAGCTTGTCAGACCACCTTGTAGGAAAGAGGGGGCTAGGTCAGCGATGGAAGGGACCATGCTCTGCCCAGGACTTCATAGTTTGTGTATCCTTTGCCCCGCATTTAAACCTAACCCCCATGTCAGGACTCTGAAGGTGAGCTTGGGGTGAGGAGGTCTCTGGATCTCGTTTTTGTTTCTTTTCCCAGTGCGGCCACATTGAAAACATCACCTTTCTTTGTCAGTGGTTCTTATCGTTTAACTGTTCGATTGAGGGCAGGTGCTTGGTCCCGGTTTGTTAGGACTGCCAGGGCCCAGACTCTGATTTAACAATGGTAGCAACAGTTGTGTGTGCTCTTATCGTCTGCTTTAATTCCATCACTGGGAGGTTAGACATGGTTTTAAGCAATTGGTGAGCTATGGATTCAGTGAAAGACTACCCCTTCCCCAAACACCTCAAAAACCGAAGTGGAGTGGGGGAAGATGTCCAATGGCAGTCTCTACCCTCCATTTAAACACACACACACACACACACACACACACACACACACACACACACACGGAACTTAGGGTTTTTAAAAAACCACCTGACTCTTCTGGAATAAACTACATCTCTACAATTGCACCAGAAAACAAGTTCGTGTGGTGATTTTTATTAAATAAGTTGATACCTTTAAAGGGCAGAGGGCAACGGGAGGCTGGTATGTGGTGAGCACTAGTGGAATCTTCATTTAACTCTCTTTAAAAATCTCTCCTTTGGATTAGTCTCCCAGGGGACAAGGATGCTTATCTCTCTAAACACCAAGTTTCCTGAAGTAAGTTTCTCATCTCTAGTGATCTTAAGAGATGCCTGAAGATCTCAGTTTTCCCCTTCCTTACTCCCTACCCAACTCCCATGGCAAAGATTGTGCCTAGAGACTTGCTTGTAGACAGGTAATACCACTGAGTTGAACCTTAAACTTTGTACTCAGCTCTTTTCTAAAACAGAGAGAATTCTTGGAGCCTAGGAAATGCAAACTGAGCCTCTTTGAGCTTACGTTAGCAATGGATACTTCCTGGGAGGGGGACAGGTAAACTCCACAGCAAAGTACACTGCAGAGATATGAGATGTTTGTTTTTTATTAGTGGTAAAAGGACCTTAAACTTATGAGAGTACACTGTAATTTACAATGGCAAGACTTTAATGACTTCCTTCTAGCTGAATTACTACTAGGCATGTAGTAATTTGTATTATCTTCCGTTTATTGGAGCCCCCACACTTGACATTTTAGATAAATAAGTGAATAAACTAAGTCATAATTGATGGTGTTTACAATGTCTGTAATCTCAGAACTTGGGAGGCTAAGACAGGTGTATAGAGTTTGAGGCCACTGTGGATTACAGAACAAGGCTGTTACAAAAAGAAAAGGAAGGATGGAGGAGACAATGAGGGAAGGACAGAGAAATTGTTGCTGGAGATAAAAGGCATTTTATTTGGTATATGCTGAGTAAGAAGGAGTACTATCCACAAAGTGTTTCAGATTCCTTTGGGAGGGTTCGAGACTTCTTTTTGTGGGGGGGTGTTGAGACACTGTTTCTCTGTATAACAGTCCTGGTTGTCCTAGAATTCAGTCTGTAGAGCAGGATGGTCTCAAACTCTCAGAGATCTGCCTGCCTTTGCAGGGACTAAAGGCGTGTGCCACCCCTTCCCAGCCAGATTTCTTTATAAGCTTTGTTTTTAAAAAAAAAAGTATTTTATGTGATAGAAGAGGAAAATGGAAATAATAAGATTAGCATCTTGAGTCTCACTTTGACCAGGTGCAGCTAGTGGTACACATCTGTAATCCTGGCACTTAGAAGGAAATACTGCAGGCTTGAGACCAGCTGTGGCTGCGTAGCAAATATCCAGCCAGCCAAGCTAAACTAGCAAGATCCTGTCTCCACAAACAAAGAAGACATAATCCCATTTTTAAATCATTGCTAAGACTTCAAACCTCCATATTGCAATCACTAGTTAAATAGGGTCGTTATGGGGCGAGGGCTACAGTTGACTTGTTATAGATTTTGCTCAGCATAAGGACCCAAGTTCTGATCCTCAGAGCTCACAGGTGAAGAGCTGCACACAGTAGAACTCACCTGTAATCTTAATCCTGAGGAAATGAGGCCGGGAGGACCCCTGGAGCTTACTGGACATGGAGTCTAACTGAATCAGGGGAAGCTCCAGGTTCAGAGGGAAACCCTGCCTCAAGAAATAAGGTGGGGAGGTAGACAGGAAAACACTTAGCCTTCACATGGAGCAAAGGATTACCAGCCTACAATCGACACTGCCAGAGAATCTAGGAAACAAGGAGGACCCTAAGAGAGACATACATGGCCCCCCAGAGAAGGGGAAAGGGACAAGATCTCCTGAGCAAATTGGGAGCATGAATGGAGGGCAGAGGGAGCAAGGAGAAAGAGAAGGGGAGAAGAGGAGGGGAGAGGAGGACATGAGGGAGCAGGAAGATTGAGTCAGGGGAATAGAGGAGAGCAAGAAAAGAGATCCATAATAGAGGGAGCCATTATAGGTTTAAAGAGAAATCTGGCACTAGGGAAATGTCCAGAGATATACAAGGATGACAACTAACAATCTAAGCAATAGTGAAGAGACTGCCTTAAATGTCCTTCTCCAATAATGAGAGTGAAAACTACCTTATATGCCATCCTAGAGCCTTCATCCAGTGACTAATGGAAGCAGAAGCAGACACCCACAGCTAAATACTGAACTGAAATCCTGGAAGCCAGTTGCAGAGAGGGAGGAGTGATGAGCAAAGGGATCAAGACCACACTGGTGAAAGCCACAGAAACAACTGACCTGAACAAGGGGAAGCTCATGGAACCCAGACTGATAGCTGGGAAACCAACGTAGTACTGTTCCAGATTCCCTGAACGTGAGTGTCAGTGAGGAGGCCTCGGCAATCTATGCGTCCTCTGGTAGTAGATCAGTATTTATCCCTAGCATGCGAATGAACTTTAGGAGCCCACTCCACATAAAAGGATACTCTCTCAGCCTGGACACATGGGGGAAGGGCCTAGGCCCTTCTCCAAATGATATGACAGACTTTGAAGATCCCCATGGAAGGCCTCACCCTCCCTGGGGAGCAGAAAGGGAATAGGATAAGGAGCTAGTGGGGTGTAGGGGAGGAGGGGAGGGAGAAGGAACTGTGATTGACATTGTTTCTAATTTAAATAAAAAATAGAAAGAATAAATAAATAAATTAGCAGAAAGAAAAAACAGACACTTTGACTTCACATACAAGTGTTCACCTGCACATAACATACCAACAGACACACATGCTTATACCATATGTAAAAATTAATTTTAATTTTAATTTTATAATCGTAGTATTATACCTTTTTCAATACAAGGTCTTCCTATCTGAGACTCAGCTCAGGAATATTATTGGGATGATAAATTATGCTTTAGACAGCTGAATGCTTTTATGATTTTTATATGATTACATGTAAATTATATGAAAGTTAGATGCTAGCATGAGTCATAAAATTATTTATGCATATGTTGTAGTATAGAACCTTCTCTTAAATAAACTTTGCCTTATAAATGTGGTCAGAATTCTGCTGAGTTAAAAAATATTGATTTCATCAATGTTTAGGTTATATTGACGAAATTTAAAACAAATATTACATTGACAAGCAAACATCACTTTAAAGCCATACCTATATATTTTATAGTGTCTATAAAATAATATGTCTAATAAAATTTAAAGAAAACCCCTAGTTCAGCATCTGACCCGGATTTTGTACTGATCTCACATGCTTTCTGTCATTCATCTCCCATGAAGACCATCCTTTC